GTACCTCCCTCGTCAGATAAAATTGATTTTATATTTTATAAAAATTTAAAGTCGGTCATGGAATGATTATTTTACCTCCAAATTATAATCCAAATGTTACAATTGCATCATATCCTGTTATTGTATCAATGTATAATTTTCAAATTAATTAAAATTAAGAATTTTTTTTTTCTTGTTTCTTTTTCTTTTTTTTTGTATAGAAATGATCAATTATATGATCAAAGAGTTACTAAAAAATTTGTTTTGCCATTAGTAGAGTATGTTAAAAAAAAAGAATATTAGTAAGAAAAAAAATAATCATAATAATGAATTTTTATTTATTTAGATTTGCTCATGTTACACGAGATAATATAAGTATTGTATTATTTGATGCACATGGTAGTACCGGACAAGATGAAAATTATTTAAAAATTACTGAATCGAATTGGATTCAAAGTCAATATGAAGATTATATAAAAGTTGCAAAGTACAAAAGAGAGAAAATATTAAAAAGATTTTTGAATTTATATGAATTTATTTAGACATCTTAAAGAACATGAAAAAAAATTTAATGAAACATTGAATGCAACACGATTTGGACTTAAAGCAAGAGTAAGTTTTGTTCTTTTTTGTTGTTTTGATCATAGATAAGAAAATTTTTATATAAAGAAAAATGGTTTGTAAATAATTAAAAAAAAAAAAGAAGCTCTTTTTCGTTGACAAATTAGTATTCATCTAAAAGAAAATCTAATAAATTCATATTTAAAATTTTAGGGTCCTGCTGCAGTCATAGCATTAAAATTACTTGAAAAACCGAATTCTGGAAAAGATGAATATATTTGTGCATTTCTTGAATCACCTGTCCATGATTTATCTCATTATCGTAAGATTTAAAAAATTGCTATTTATATAATTAATAATTTAATTCATTTTCAAGATGCTGTTTATACTGAACGTATCAGTGGATTAGAAAAAAAATCTAAATCAGTAAGAAACACAAGAAACTTTGATTAAATTTTGGTTTTTTCATATTTTTTCAGTCTCATCAATTTAATATGCGAAATAAAAGTGTAGCTATCATTCATGGAACAGCTGATGGTAAGATTAGAAAAAAAAAACATTTCTATAGAAATTTGAAGCAATAAAAAAGAAATTCACAAACTTTGTTTTTTTTTCAGAGGATGTTCATTTTAAACATTCAGCAACATTAGCTAAAACATTTATTGAAACAGGTGCCACTTTTCAATTCAAAGTAAAAAAAAAAAAAAAGAAAATTTTAATTTTGCTTAGACCAAAATTTTGTTTTTTCTTTTAAAAAAGGTTTATCCTGATGCTGATCATGATTTTGGAAAAAATCCAACTTTGCATGATGATTATTTTCATTTTCAACGACAATTTTTTCAAGAATGTCTTGGTAGTCGTGTTAATAAAGAACGAAAATTAGTTATACCAGAAGAATATGATTAATTAAACTAAATAAACAAATTATCATTTGTTTCTTCAAATTTTGATAAACCCGGTGGATTTACACATCGGAAAAAAGAAAAAAAATAGAAAGACATAATTTATTTTCATTTGTATATGATTTTATCATTCTTATATACATGTATTCAATGTATTTTGTTCAGCTCAAATTTGTTTTTATAAGAGCTTATAACCTTAATTGTAAATTTCGTTTTATTCTTTATTTTGTTTTTGGTGTTTTATTTCCCAACGAAAAAGAAAGAAAACAAGAACAATGACAAAAAAAATTGTTCAGATAGAAATTAGAACAATAGATTTAAATCAATTAAATATCTAATGTTGTTGGCATATTAAGAAGATGAAGAGTTGAACGTTTTAATGGCCAAATCTAAATACATTTATAAATTATTTCAATGTTTGTTTGTTTGTTTTTTCTGTTTACTCGTGCTAATGTACGTCCTTCGATTAAGCCAATTGGTAAAATTTTTATTTCTTGATGATTATCATTTGTTAATCGATTAATAGCAATACTTCCTTTAGGAATCTATAATGAAATTATAAATGAGATAGATAATCGAAGATTTACAAAAAAAAAAAAGATCTACTTGAATTAATTTTCTTCTAGAATTTATTGGTTGAGTGTTGATAGTTTCATCTTGAAAAGCTATAACACGACCAAAAATGATCTGCTGATGATTATCAGGTGATTTAGCACATATTAAATTGTTTCTATACTAAATCAAATAAATCCAATGTAATGATAGATCTCGATTGTATTATAATAATTGAAATTAAATTTGTCTTATAGTTTTCTGACTAATAATATAAAGAATTATTTTCGATACAATAGAAACAAAAAAAAACTCTAATTAAAAATATAAAGATAAAAGATTAATAAGATTCTCGTTTCTTTAGAAAATCTTGTTATTACAGTTCTTTAAGATTAAAATATGAAACTCAAATACCTTCTATAGTTGCATCATACTAAAACAATATGAAAAATCTCTAAAACACAATAGTTGTTTTTCAATGATGATCAATTGTCAGAGTACGTTCTCATTGATTTATTTCTACATTTCGAACAGAAATTTCTTTTCTTAACTGATGCTTCTTGTTTTATTTGCCTCATTATTTATCTTCTTTCTATTGTGCATATTCATTACAACTACAGTAAGTTATAACACGGTATTATGTATTTCATTTAAATTGCGAAACACAAATATTGATATCTCCAAACGTTAGAATTTGATTATTTCATGCTTTTGCGTGCGTCCATATAGTAATTTTAGTAAATTAATCGATCACTAGCCATCATAATTGATATCCTTCATATAATTATTTATCTATGCAAAAATCAGAAATTGTATTAATTAGAATATTGAAAGTCAATTAAGTTTCAATGACGACTTTTGGAATGTTTTATTAAGCGGCAAAACTTTATTGCTAATGCTGTTCAGCGCCTTTTTCCGTTATTAAAGAATAATGAGAGACTATTTTGATGCTTATTATAATCGTTTGCTATAAAAATATACTTAATAACCTTTAATGACCTGACTCGATAGAAAAGATCTATGTGGAGGAAGCCATCAAAATACCGATATAAATTTACATTCATCATTTTTAAAAAAGAAAAATATAATGTGCGTTTTATAAAAATGTGAAAATAAATTTTATTTGAACTTCCGATTATTAAAAGTATAACTAGACTGAAAATAAAATGGAAATATGCTTGATCGAATTAGAAAATATTATGAAAATATACATTTTTTATTTTGTAATTGATGATCCATCAAAGATAAAGAGAAAAAAGATCGAACAGATTGATACATTAGAGATTTCAATATCAATGTAACTTTTCTCAGAAGTATAACAAAAAAGAACTTTGCTATTAATCTTTGTTTACATACGATACACAAATGGCAAATAGCACTGAGCTATTTATAGCTATGTTGTTTTCTTAGAAAATTATCTATGCAATAATTCTACAGCTGTGACAACATAATCCATTAATGTTTTTTTTATAATATTTTCATAAAACCCTGGAATAACTAATAAAAAATGTCGTCGTTTTATTAAATAATACCTATTTATTTTTAATCGATTCCATACATCTAAAATAATAATATCACCTGATTTAAATAATTCATTTTCATCATTTTTGATATAAAAGAAATCAATAAAAAATTGTTGCATACAATAACATGTTACTCCTCCATATAAATACCAACCAAATGATTTTATTAATTGTCTCATTTTAA